ATTCTTATCTGTCGATTTGTGAAAATTTTATGAAAAGCATTAATTCACGTGATTTCAGATTTGATGTGCAATACTGAGCTTTCACTCTGAACTGCTTTTGTTTTTATTCTTTTTCTTGTTTTTGTTTTTTATATGAGATCTTATCTACCTTAATTATTTTATGAAAACTATTTTTTTTTATAAAAAGTTCTTATTATATAAATATTTTTAGAGGAATTCACATTAAATTATTTTTTTCTAAAATTAGTCAAACGAATTTAAAATTAATTTTTGAATTCATATTAACTTCTCGAAAGTCATATTAAGGCCCTGTTTGGGAGAAATTTTAATCAAGATTTTAATCAAAAATCTAGCCTTTAACTATCAAATCAGCCACCATTTTTTTACCTTCCCTCTCACGGGTGAAGCCCACGGGTTGGTTTTAACGGCTATAATTTTGATTAAAATTCCACAAAAATTTCTCCCAAACACACTCTAAATGGTTCGATTTTAAACCTACTATCGTAGTCATGGACTATTCAAATCAACTCACATGTTACTATTTGGATTTTCAAAGCACGAGAGGCCAAATGTATTCTTTTGTATCGTATAGCATGAAAAGGAAAACAATCTTGCTACGTTGTCAAAAATTTTTGTCACATTTATGATAGAATATCACATGGTATTTTATCATTGAATTATTTAAAAAATACTCCATCTGTCCCAATTATATAAGCTGGGTTTCTTTTTTCTCTTGTCCCAAATATATAAGTTTGTTTCCTAATATACAATATTTTGTTGTGTTCATTTACCAATATACCCTTATTAAATTTTCTTCACTTAATATGCCAATTTCTTGAAATCATCCAAGTACACACATTTCTCATTTCTTGGAAACATGGAACAACTCTCATTTCTTCTTCTTCTTCAATTTCTTTATTAGTTCCAACAATAATTTAGTTTTACTTACTGAAAATTAAATAGGGGTAAATTATAAGGCAGTGTTTGATAGGCCACATTTTTCGGGGAAGTAGGAAAATATTTTCTACTTTCCATTTTTTTGGATGTTTGATAGGCGAAATTTTCCACGGAAAATTCAATATACAAGGTTTTGGAGTCGATTGTTGTCCATCCACGTGTAAAGATTTTATGGTAAATAATCACAATGATAGTTGCTTTTCATTAGTTACTTAACTTGGAAAAAGATTTGAAGTGAAAATTTACGTGAAGGGGAGAAGACAAATTTCGATTCAATTCTTATCTGTCGATTTGTGAAAAGCATTAATTCACGTGATTTCAGATTTGATGTGCAATACTGAGCTTTCACTCTGAACTGCTTTTGTTTTTTATATGAGATCTTATCTACCTTAATTATTTTATGAAAACTATTTTTTTATAAAAATTTCTTATTATATAAATATTTTTAGAGGAATTCACATTAAATTAATTTTTTCTAAAAGTAGTCAAAAGAATTTAAAATTAATTTTTGAATTCATATTAACTTCTCGAAAATCATGTTAAATGGTTCGATTTCAAACCCACTATCGTAGTCATGGACTATTCAAATCAACTCACGTGTTACTATTTGGATTTTCAAAGTACGAAAGGCCAAATGTATTCTTTTGTATCGTATAGCATGAAAAAGGAAAACAATCTTGCTACGTTGTCAGAAATTTTTGTCACATTTTATGACAGAATATCACATGGTATTTTATCATTGAATTATTTAAAAAATACTCTATCCGTCCCAATTATATAGGATGAGTTTCTTTTTTCTCTTATCCCAAATATACAGGCTTGTTTCCTAATGTACAATATTTTGTTGTGTTCATTTACCAATATACCCTTATTAAATTTTCTTCACTTAATATGCCACCTTCTTGAAATCATCCAAGTACACACATTTCTCACTTCTTGGAAACATGGAACAACTCTCATTTCTTCTTTTTCTTCAATTTCTTTATTAGTTCCACAATAATTTAGTTTTACATACTAAAAATTAAATATGGGTAAATTATGAAAGATCTTGACAAAAATTGATTTTTCAATGGCATTAAAGAAGTTTTCTTAATCTGTGTGAAAAACTAAACAAACATATATAATTGGGACGGAATGAGTAGTCAATTTTTACATTCAATCATATCTTGTCAATATTGTATATATCAACTAGGTGGACAATATTTCCTTATAAAGCCTTTATTTGGTAGAAATTAAAATCAATTTTTTAATAAATATTGATAAAAATTAATGAAATATATGATTAAAATTAATTGTTGAATTTGACTTGAAATTTTAATTGAATTTCACTCCAAACTAAAATAGGGTAGAAATGTCTTGACTCAAAAGCAAAATGAATTTGGACCGTTACATAAGGGCCCAATTTTTGATTTTAAGTTTGGTGGGGTGGATGTGATGCTTTAGTAGTACCAAACGAGACCGTCTTCCTCGGTCCCCTGCAATATTTATTGTTTCCACCACACCTGTCGGTCGGTTTACACTTCATATTCTTCAGGGAAAAAAAAAAATTTAATCAGGATTTCTGCATTTTTTTAAAAGAATTTTCTTATTAGGAATTTTTCTCGTAGAAATTATTCAAATACATTCAAAAGCAATCTTTTAATATTAGAAGTAATTTTTGATTTATTAAAACTTATAAAATAGATCCAAAATAATTGAGCTTAAACAATAAATTAGTGGAGTATAAAGCTAACTCGGCACTAGACACTGCATTGTAATTTATCAATTGTCATATGAATAATGTTATTTATAGTAAGAACTATTGATTGTCGCTTTATGTGATATACATGTGATAATTTGTTATTTGATGCATGAAGTAATAAATTATTACTACATTAATGTATCAAATAATATACATCACAGGTATTTCATGTAGAGCGACTGCTGATAGTTTTCAATATGAATAACATTATTCTTGATATATTTCAGTGTTAATCAAATTGAGCATTTATGTTAAGTGGCATTACTATCCTATTTATTTCATATACTTCATTTAAAACCTATTAAGCATATGTGATGCTTAATAGTCATCTAAACGATAACGCTTATTATATTAACTCCCTGTTTGGGAGGGATTAGATTTTTCTACAGTAAATCAATTCTCATTTTCAATCACACATTCTCCAATAAAATAATATTTTTCATCACATCAATAATTTTTTCTTCTTTTTCAACCACACATTTCCCATCATTTCACTATTCAAAATCAATTCTTCCCCCAAAAATCACTCCCAAACAAGCTCATAGAAATAAGCATTTGGTTTAGTTTTAAAAAGGTTTTCAGAAAGTATAACTTAAGTCTCTGTTTGAGCTATATTATTTTTTTCATTATCATTCTTCTACTCATTTTCAACCACACATTTTTCAATAAAATAATATTTTTCATCAGATCAATAATTTTTTCTTCTTTTTCAACCACACATTTCTCATCATATCACTATTCAAAATCAAATTTTCTCCAAAAAAATCCCTCACAAAGAAGCACTAAATTAAATGAAGCTCACAACTTATCATGTACGTTACAATCAGGGGAGGAGGAAGGGAGGCAGGCTTGCCCTCAAAATCCAATTAAATTTTATAAGCTAAAAATGGAAATAAAGGTAAAAAATAAGGGGTCGTTTTCTTTGTATTTCAATTTTGTGTTTTGAGAGTTTATTTTGAAATTATTGAAAATGTGTTCTTTTTGACATTTTGATTTTTTTTAACACTCAAACACGTTTTGAAAATTTTGGCTTGATTTATAACTGAAAACACACAAAATGACAAATTTGTCGTTTCATGTTTTCTTTGTAAATTTTTAATTTGTTTTTAAAAATGCGTTTTCGAAAATAGGAAAGAGAACGCATTTTCAGTGTTTTGGAAAATCGAAAACAAAAAACGGTTTGAAAATAGTAAAGAGAACCTACCCTAAATTTTTCTAATGAAAATTTACTTTTTTACGTATCAATTCAGTATTAAAAAAATAAAATAAAATTGTACCCTTGACTCCGTGCATGATTACATTATTCGTAGATAGATAACGTTAATCATAATCATAATAGAGCATCAACTTTAGGGATGATGAGGATAGAGGAATTATAATCTGCTGCCTGCACACCTATCTTCCTATTGTTGTACATTCATTCCGTCATTAATTAATATTAATTTCCTTTTCCAAATCGCTAATTTAGAATAATTGTGATATTTTAAGAATTTGGACAGATTTTGAATTATAGAAGACGAAATCTTTAGCCCCTCTTTCGTCAATTAAAAATTATTTTTTAATAAAAACGATAAAATATATAATTAAATGATTGGTAAAAATGATAAATTCTACATAAAATATATTTATAAAAATAAATTTTGGAAAGCCCTTGTTTGGGCTCCATTTTAATGAAATTTTGGGAAAAATGTATTTTGAAATGATAATTTTTTAGACAATATGAGGTTAAAAAGTAAGATTATTTTTTAGATTTACGTGTAATATTATTTTATTAAAAAATTACGTGATTGAAAATAAAAAAAAAATACATTAAATTAAAATAAAGGGAATACAAATTATCATGTGACTCTATCGTTTGTCAGTTTAAAATTTGATCAACTTTTTCATCCGATCTTTTTCTCCACATCATATTAGGTAACGTTTTATGTACAATTTCGATACACAATTAGCAAAATACGGATGAGGGAGACTTGATTCCATAATTTCAGTAACTTTGTTCATAATCAATAAATTAAAAGCTTGAAACACACTAGAACTCTGATTGCAAAAAAGCACCTTATTTCTCTCTCTCAATCTCGCCGCAAAATCCTCTCATTCTCTCTCTAAATCTGCGCATACTCTTGTTGGGTCACTCTGCCTCCTCTTTGAATTGCACAAGAGTAGGGCCTATAGATATACATCCGTGTACGTACACACCGCACGCACAGGAGTGTGATTATAAGCACACACTGACACCCACCCAATCCCTGTTTAACGGAATGCTTGGAGTCTGCACAGATTGTTAACTGCAGGAGTGAAAGAGATGTTGGGTTTTTTTATGAGGAAAGATGTCAGGAAAATTCTCAAGAGAAAGGATAGTGACGCTGGCGATACAGGTAAATCATTTTCATCCTTTTCGGATTTTTAATCTTTTCCTCCAAATTTCACCCCTTTTTTTAGTTGTTGAAATTTTTTTTGCTTTCTAACGATGATTTTTGTTCTTAAATAATGTGTAAAAGGACTTTCTTTCACACCTTCTGCCTCTTTAGTTTCTGGTAATAAAGGAAAATGGATTTTACAAAAAAAAAAAAGAACTTCGAGGAAAAAATGACCTTGTCGAGTAATGTAGTAGTGAAAGTGTATTTTGATTTTCTTAAAATGACCTGGTTAAAGATTATTAATAATATTTTCTGGATTTACAAATTAAGTAATATCATAAATTTGAAACCAAATGTGTAGTAACAGATGTACAAGTAACTGTGCACTGGGAGGGACGCAAACATTTCGAGTCAATTTTGAATATGGGGCACAATCAAACCTTGTACAAATGAAATACTTTATTCTTTGATTTTTGAATGACTCGTACTTGACCCAGGGATCCGCCAGTGACTGTACACCTCACAATCAAATAGAAAGCCTCAAGGGCGCCCAGTAGAATGCTGAGGGTGGCTAGGATCATTTACTGCCTAAAATTGTTCTTTGTGGGGGAGGTGGTGTTGAGATGGACAGATTTATTAACAGAATGTTCCTAGTATTTAGCCGCAATTAATACGACTTGTTAATGTATTGTTTTGGCAATAGAGTAACAAAGAATCATGGTTTCATACAGCTGTAAAATATATGAAAGGATCTTGGCAAATAATCATCTTTATTACAAACCTAAACATATTGACATCAGAAGGTCAACAAGTTCAAGTAATCTAGGAGAAATGGTCAATACATTTGTTGTCACGTGGGATTCCATGGAATTCTACTTCAGATGCAAATCTTGTACTTCATCTTGTTGTTGAAAGACTGTTGTAATTTTCAAGCTATTTACCATGAATTTTCTATCTAAAGGGCCGCTGCAAAAGTGCATCTGGATTTAGTTGTCACTGTAAAACATTTGCACATAATTTCTAAATCTTAAACTTGACCTTTAGGCTTTCTGTCGAGCATGTTTTAGACAGTCTTGCAGTTGTTTTATGCATTACTAATTCATTTCAACTACCTTTTGTTGATACTTTGTCTTTTGAGGAATCTTTGCAATTTTTTGCCAAAATAGAATAACTAACTTAATTCTCTGGGATTGTCAAGAAACATTCTTTTGGATTATCTTTGGAGGATTTTGTGCCCATGTTCTACAATGTTATTGATGAATCGTATTCTTCTTTTAGGTAGAGCACTGGAGGAATTGCGTGCTTCCGTGTTTAGCAAATTACGATCATTCGGTGGTGCAAAGTGTCAACAGCAATCCTTGTTGGGGCCCTCTATTGCTCTCACCTTCAATTTTTTCGTTTCTGTTAGTATTATTTTGATGAACAAATTGGTAATCCACATACCTTTTCCTCCTACATGTGCTTTGTGCTGCTATAACGTGATATAGATTCTAACCTTTATTTCCTTTTCAGGTACTTGTGAATGTTGGATTTAATTATCCTATTTTCTTAACTTTTATTCACTATATATTTAGTTGGTTGATAATGGCCCTGCTAAAAGCTCTGTCAATCCTTTCTCTATCTTCTCCATCAAAGACAACCAAATTTTCTTCATTGCTGTCCCTCGGTATAGTCATGTCTCTCTCCACTGGCCTTGCAAATGTTAGCTTGAAATATAATAGGTAAGAGATTATTACCTACTACTTTTGATTTTCTATCTCTTACTTTTACTTTGTTTCTAATTATTAATATCAATATTTTTCCAGTGTTGGGTTTTATCAGATGGCTAAGATTGCAGTAACACCAGCGATTGTTTTAGCTGAATTCATTCTATTTCAGAAAAAAATTTCGGTGCAGAAGGTAATTTATCTGGTGCTGTGTGCATAGCTTGATTATGCAACCAGAAATTAGATTATTTCACACCTATGACTTAGCCATGGTCAGTACATTGCATGCTAGCAACTTCTTTTCTTAGATTTATAAGGCTTTTGTTACTTGATTTTATAATACTGGCTTTGTTCATCTCTGTATAGTCGTGTAATAGATTATTATTATGAGTCTTTGGATATTGCACACGTGAGGTTCTAATTTGCTCTATATTTCTCTTGTTACACATTTAATTCTTACCATGTTGCTTTTAGGTGCTTGCACTTACTGTAGTATCAATTGGTGTTGCTGTTGCTACGGTAACCGATCTTCAGTTTCATTTTTTCGGTGCTTGCATAGCAGTAGCATGGATAATACCGAGTGCAGTTAATAAAATACTATGGTCCAATCTTCAACAAAAAGAAAACTGGACAGCCCTAGCGTAAGTCACATGCTTCTGTGGGATTTTCGCTTTGCTGCATTCTTCTATTGGTCAAAAAGTAGCTGTAGAGTTAGAAATTTACATGTCTTTATCTTGTTAACAGGTTAATGTGGAAGACCACACCTATTACTTTATTCTTCCTTGTGATGTTAATGCCATCACTTGATCCTCCCGGCGTCCTGTCTTTTAATTGGAACCTCTATAACTCTCTAATTATTGGCGGTTCGGCTATTCTTGGTTTCTTGCTTCAATGGTCAGGTGCCCTAGCACTTGGGTATGTATCTTCTGCTTATATTTTTCACTTTGCTTCTTTTCCTTCACTAGCAATTTCTCTGAAGTTTTTCTTTCGGAATCTTGATTTTAACTTTTACAACATAAAATACTTTACTTCTTTAAAGTTATGTACAATGTAGCTTCTTGTGCCATAAAATAGCTTAGGTTTAGTGTGCTTGGTGCTAGTGAGGTCTGTCCATGAGTTTCAGAAATACTAGGAAGGAATGGACAATTTGTATAGTGGAAATACTTGGATTCACAAGATGCTTTCGTACTTGATCCTCTCACTGAGCATTCATTGATTTGAGAAACAGTGTTAATAAATTTCATGAAGTATAATCGTTCCACTTTCAAACAAAATAATTATATATACAATAAAAAGTTCCATATGGAAAAAATTTAAACAGTTTGCGTTGAGTTATGTTGATTTACCTTTTTTGCTTAAATGGCATGTTTGAATGTATTGAAAAACCAAAACTTTGAATTCCCCATCTTTAGAGTATGGACCTTCTGCACCGAATAACTTGAACCTTAACCTTAACTGATGTCTCCTAACAATATTGTAAGCTTATAGAAGGGGCATAAAATGAGCTAGTTGGAGCAGAGATCTAGTTTATGTGCAATAAAAAAGAAAAAGAAAAACTTAAAACATGATGAACAGGGGTTTGTCTATTCCTTAAGTTGTGCTTGAGTGTGTTTTCTGGAGACATTAGATCTGATGCTGAGCAGGTTAGTTGATTTCCAGAATACTCGGACACATCTATAGCATAACATGCAGAGGCAAAAGATTTTACTAGCTTTATAATGTCTTAGAAGTTAGGTTCATTACAATGGTTGAGCCAATCTCAAACAAGCCACTTGGTATGGACCTCAGCATACCAAGTACTAAATTTGAACAAGTCTGGGTTGAGTCGATCTTTGACAATGAGGTATATAATCTGCGTTTCTGTTCATATTTGGAACAAGAATAACCAAACCTGAAGAACACAAGGAAAAATTCTCTCTCTCTCTCTCTCTCTCTCTCCCCTTTAAAAACTCAGGACCATCTTTTAAATTGATTGCACGTGTCTCCTAGTTAAGCACTAAATTGATTGGTGCTCCTTCACACAGGGAAACCTCTGCAACCACCCATGTTGTTCTTGGACAGTTCAAAACTTGTGTCATTCTTCTTGGGGGCTTTCTTCTCTTCAGTTCAAATCCCGGAACAACTAGCATTCTTGGAGCAGCTACAGCTCTTGTTGGTATGTCATTCTACACATACCTTAACTTGCATTCACAGCACCAGTTGGCCAAAATTTCTTCACGACAATCTCCATTCTCAATATCAAAGTCGAAGCTCGGCAAAGAAAATGGTGAGAGCCATGATGGAGGTGGTGGAGACGAGTGTGTCTAGTAGATTGGTGGCATGTTTGATAATGTGGATTGTCTATTGTATTGTAGTCCAGTCCATTACAGAAAATACATGGTTTGATTTGTTTGAATATTTTAGGAGAGGCTTGTATATGCAATTTATAAATTTTTAGTTACTTAAAAGAGTTCATAGAAAAATGCATACTGCCACACCTTGTTGGGTTATACATATTTTATTGCTTAAAAACTTCAATGTGAAATTCATCCATCTGTTACATTTCCTACTCAAACGTTTGACTTGGGGCCAACGGACTTGACAAGGTGACCATTTTAGACCTTAAAATAAAAGGGAAAAATTCACAACTCAAGTATTATGGGCCATTTCAATTTTCAGGTTTTAACCTTGAAGCCTGAAGAGTTGCTCAATTGGTCAGGTCTTGAGTTTGCTCCTTAATGATCACCAGTTCGAGTCCTATTAGGGTCACTGAGGTGAATACTTGACCGTAAATTTTAGGGTCTCGTGAGATTAGTCGAGGTGCGCGCAAGTTGATCCGGACATCCACGATTATGAAAAAAAAATTCAGGTTTTAAATTTCAAAATTCAAGTGACAAATAAATAAATAAAAATATTTTATTAATTAAATATACTAATGTTACAATTATACGATTAATAGTTACATGTAGGAACTTGTAGGTCACAATTTATTTCATTGATCACAAATCAAAAAATTTATAGGTCAGAAATTATAAAATTAGTTTTTCATTTTATTTCTCAATCACAAATTATCGAATTTTTAGATTACAATAAATAGTTGGTCACAAGTTAACCAAGTACTTGGTTACAAACACACCTACAACAATATTTGGTCACAAATCAACCAACCCATCTCGCTCCACTAGATCCAAACATCGTCGCTGTACCGCAAAAATCAGATTCAAAATACTGCGATGGCATCACCACTGCTGCGGTTGCCAAATAAAAAAACTACCCATAAAAAACCATCAACAAACCACGCCACCGCCACCACCACCGCAGACCACCACAACATAACCACCACCACAAGACCAATGCTAGCACCACCACCACCATCTAACCATCATCTACACCACTACTACATTATCACTACATGCACCATCACCACAAACCAACAACCGCTCATAACTCCGAGTTGGAAGAGAAAGAAACCACTCCAAAAAACCACCCCCAAAAATCATCTCAAAACCATGGCCGCCATACTTCATGGCAGCAATCAACATAAACCACAGATTGCCCAGCGTCGCCCGTCTACATATCACATCGTCGTTGCGCGTCGTTGAACAGCAGCATCACCACTAAAGCCTCTCGTTGTTGTGCAACAGCATCATCCCTGAAGTTGTCGTTGTGCATCGACGTCGAGAGCGAGTTGCTCGGAACAGCTTCGTGCCGCTTACTGACGCCACGTCGACTGTGCTCCAGTGATGTGTTTGATAAAGAGGAAGAGAGAAAAGTTTGGGGAATCTCAATTTATGGTTTCGGATGAAATTGGATTGGGTGTGGGGTGTGGTGGGTAAATTTTATAATACCTGATTTTTTATTAAATAAACTTCATACTTGATTTATGAAGTGTAATCTTTAAATATTCGATGCTGTGTAAATTCCACTAAAATAAATTGTCTTCGACATCACAGAATGCCATTGAGTTTTAAGAAATTAGTCGAGGACCAAATTATAGGTCTTCTCATAAATTTTCGAGTCCGACCTTGCCATATTAAGAGACAAATAACCATAGGTCTCCTCGACTCGACTGTTGAATGAATGAGACAATATAATATACATAAAGTGTGACACGTTGCTATAAAACATTTTGCTTCAAACTATCTGACAAAATTTCAAATATTTACGCTACTTTCTTCACAATGATATGCAACCAAAAATAGATGTCCTGTTCTGGCCCCCCAAAAGCAACACATAACAGGCAGCCATCAATTGAAGGATTGCTTTCACATTGGCAAGATTTTCAACCTTTAAACTTCGAAGGCGAGTACACAAGAAGAAAAGTAAGATGCAACATGATACAGAAACTATACTTCAACTAAATGGTTACCAGATGAAATCTAAATCAACTTTATAATTGCAGCCGTCTAAAATTTGAACTATTACTAGCTCAAAGATCTTCCTCTTCTGTTGTAGCGATACCTAGAAGTTTCACCAGTTCCCCATTTTCATACGCTTCAACAGTATCTGCAACCAGTAACTCACTCGTAACAAAAGAAATGTATGATTAGACAATTTATTATACAAGTTGTACATGAGATATAAGATACCATCAGAGCCCCCAAATGCTTTCCATTAATGAAAACCTGCAGTACAGTACGCGTACCAACAATCTCACTCAAGGCATCTTGAATGTTTCCACCGTCATCGGCATATATAAACATACAGGCTTAGAGACCTATGATAGAGAGAGCAACTATCCTACACTAGTAAATTCTCGAGTTGCAGTTTATTAGAAAGTTTGAAACTGTATAACATCCCCAAAGTTTCAGCATTGTCTCAACACCCCATTGGGGTAATTCTTTTTTGACTCCCCACCCACCCACCGCCCTCGAATGAGTGTTTTATTTTCTTAATTTACTGGAGAACCCTGGTCCAAATTCTGCTTTCATCTACTTAGAAAAAACAAGTGAAGTATGTGGAACCTGGTTAACCTACAGATATTTCAATGTGAAAGTGTGTCCTCACTACATAATAGAATGCAGTCAGCAAGTCAACAATTTAAATAGGAAAAGGTATGTAATAATACAATCAACATCAGACAGGCATGGAACCAACCAATCTGATAAGGGATTCATTCAAATGTCATTTTCTTCATCTTCCTAACTCGCATAATTGTTGATTCATCGAAATTATTGTCACTCCTTACAGTTCAGTTGCCCCACTCCACGTTGTCTAAGTACTAACACATTAGAAAAATCAAGAGAATATGGGAGAATATGAGAAATAATTGGACAAACCTCTCTCATCAAGTTCAACGACATGTGGCACTTGCTTCAGCTCTTTAAAGACAGCCTTTGCCAGTCTACAGTATCTATAATTAAGTTTATAAAAGGAAAACTGTCAACAAATGAATATTAAGAAATGGAACTACCACGTTTTCAGCTTTGCGAGAATTCTGAGAATTTCGTCAAAAATTCAAAAATTGAAGTCAATCAGCTTAAGAAATGGAACTACTACGAATGATCAAGTTTCTTGAAAACAGCTTATACAAGCTAAGTTTAGCCCCAATTTCGGAGCTTCCCTCAAGAAGTTAATTGGCATTTCTTGGATAACTTTGCTTCACTGTATGAAATTTGACCAATCACATTACAGTTTGAAAAATAAGCAGAACAGGTTTTTGTACATTACGACTTTGATATAAATGCCAAATTTTAAATGGAAAAAATTGACATAACCTAGCTGATGAAGTGCATAGAGTCAGCTTAAACCAGTTGGTGCATTCGACTCGTCTCTTTCCAGTCAGTACATTTGGTGTACATGAACAGGAGTAACCTTGTCAACTTCTTTAATTTAGTTAAATCCAAAGGTCATTTTGTCATGTGCACGCGTGTTAGCCAGCTGGTTTTCTCAATGGTATTGACACATAAGATGAAATTTTTGGAAGTTGAGCAGAATAAAGGACCTCTTTATCCTGAAATCATTTTCAAAGACAGGCCTCAGTGAAATAACATTTACAATACCAGAATTCCCATGAAATCCTTGCAAGCATCATCCCATTAGTGACACATTTACATCCCCATGTTCTTCTTAGTTTTGAACATATTAGTGCATTAAACTACGTAGATTTCAATCTTTTACACCATTTCACTGAAAACGGTACAGACGCTACACTACTGAGATTGACACATTAGATAAAAAAATCAATTCATATTCAAATTTCGAATTCCAAGTTCCAAATTTTCTGGTTCCTATTCTAAGGGCTTGCTTGGGGAGTTTTTTTTTTTTTCCATATGGATTGCCACTAGCGATGAGTTGACCATGTACAGAGCTTGTTTGGGCTGGAAGAGATTCGTTTCTTTCCGGGGAGATATTTTATTTTTTTGAAAATGCATGATTGAAAATAATTTTTGAAAATCTCTTCCAAACAAGTTCTAAATTGGTATGGATCGGATATGCTCGAGATTTAGTGATTCATGAGGACAACTCACGTGATTTTAAAGCATATTTAGTGGGCGTTTGGTGAGAATTAAAATTAGATTTTTAGTAGATTGTGATTGGAATTTTTGAAATGTATGGTTGAAAAGTTATGAGACCTATGAAAAATGTGGTTAATATTGATTGTTTGATTTTGATTTAGATTAAAATATGATTTTAATCTGAAACATACGGGACCTTAAAAAGTATTTATAAGCAATTTAAAATTATGAATTATAAATAGATAAAAAAAAATAGTAATTAATAAATGAACAATACTTATAAATATTTCGAAATATAGAAATAAAAAGTAACTTAAGTATTTATAAATAACTTATAAGCATGAGCCAAACATAACTAAGTCTCCGTTTGTCTCTCATTTTTCATCCATAAAAATAAAAAATATGATCGTTATCCATCACATCAAGCCATCAATTTTGAATTTCTATCTCTTGTGTGGGGCTCAATAACGACTATATTTTTCATTCTCATTCTACAATAATAAGAATCAAACGGGCCATAAATCAAGAATTTTGAGTA